TTGTTTGTTTTTGAGGTGGGGTCACATGCAGCCCAGGCTCACCTTAAATTTTCTATGTAGCCAAGTTTGGGTTTGGCCAGTTGATCTACCCGCCCCCACCTCCCAAATGGTGAGATTGCAGGTATGTGTCACCACACCCAGCTCTTTAAAGTTTTGACTTTGTACAGAGCGAAAAACAGGGGATAGGAAAATGAATGGCTGTTCTAGCTATCCTAGTTTGCTTTCTGTGTGATAAACACCATACCCAAAAGCAATTTTGAGATAAAGGGTTTATTCCCTCTTAACAGTCTTTTCATCATTGAGAGAAGCTTAGGCAGAAACCTGGAGCAGAAACTGAAGCGGAGACCAGGAGGAAAGCATGCTGTTTACTACACTGCGTCCCCCGGCTTGGCAGCTACATTTATCATTTTAAATTATATATATGGGGGGGTATGCATCTTGACGCCACGGAGACCAGAGATGTCTGGATCCTCTGGAACTGGAGTTACAGGTAGTTGCAAGCCACCTGATGTGGGTGCTCGGAACCAAACTAGGGTCCTTTGAAGGGCAGACTGTACTCTTAACTACTGAGCTATTTCTCCAGCCACCTTTCTTATACAGCCTAGGCCCACCTGCCCAGAGCTGACACCATCCACAATGGGCCATAGCCCTATCGCACCAACGAGCAATTAAGAAAATTCCCTACAGACATGCCCACAGGCTAATGTGATGGAGGAAACGCCTCATCTCTTCTTCCCAGATATTTCTAAGTTTGTGTCAAGTTGAACTAATCAGCAGGTGTCATTTCTGGAATTTTACTGAATATTCTTAGAGTTTCAAGATCAAGGGGAAAAGGTGAGTAAATTTTAAGGGGAAAGAAATTAACAGGCAGTTATTCAACTGAGACAATTAGAGTGATTTTCTTAAACTACTTAAAGAACTATTATCAGCAAGAGATGTCACCACAGTTCAGCATCAATAACAGTAAATTCAAGGCTGGAGCTCAGCAGTTAAGAGTACTAGCTGGTTTTCCAGAGGACCCAGCACCCATATGACAGCTTACAACCATCCTTAACTCCAGTTCCAGGTCTCCATAAGCATTGCATGCATGTGATCCACTTACATACATGGAAGCAAAACACTCATACACATAAAATAAAAATAAATACAATATTTAAAAAAATAACAGTAAATCCCATGCCCCACTATGGTGTGTGTTAAGAAATCATTCCAAAAGCCAGACACAGGGGTGCTTATCTGTAATACCAACAGCCAATTCAGGAGGATTACAAGTTGGCTTAGAAACCAGCCTGGGTCAGACAGAGAAAAACCCTATCTCAGAATCAAAACCATCTCTCACAAAAAAAAGAAGGGGGGAGAGAGAGAGAGAGAGAGAGAGAGAGAGAGAGAGAGAGAGAGAGAGAGAGCTGATTCCATGAGTCTCTCTTACCTGTGAGGACCCAGGCAGCCACAGAAAAGTATAGCCTTGCCAAGGTAGTCACTAAAGTGTCTCTTTTGACTTGATCACCAACTCCGCAAGGAATTTCTACAGCCAGCAGACCAAGGTATTTGTCTCACAGAATGGGGTGGAGCCAACACTGACTCAGGAACACCAGTGTGGAAGGCTGGAGTCCTGCCCAACCCTTTCATATGGGCTCCACTCTAGAGCAGAGCTGTGGAACAAGGGCCACCACGTTCATAGGGCACAGCGTGGGCAGAGTTTTTTATCAACTGGGAGAGTTTTTATCAACTGGCCCACCAGGGAGGGAGATCAAGTAGTAGGGAACAGATCCTTGACCCTTATACCCTTGACTGAACATGTATGTGTGTATCTGCCTGTGGGCCTTTTTCCTCAAAAGACATTGCTTTCATCAGACATAAAATGATTGCAGGTTGGGGATTTTATGTTCCTGGGGTGTAGGAGAGAAACAGAAGATTTTCTAGTTGCCTGGATGGAAAAGTCAAAAGAAGACAGATTTCTATCCCTGAGGAATGTGGGGTGAAATGTAAAGGATACACAGCTTTCTTCCCAAGGAGAGGAGGAAGCCATTAGTTCTCTAGGAGGCAGGACAGAGCTTAGAAATCTATGGTCCATCAACCCATCAGCTGCAAAGAACTGCAGAAGACTCAAATACACAGAACAGGGCTGGACTCTGACAGCCAGAAAGTGAGCTGCATGCAGATGAAGGGTAGCTCTCCGCTGGAGCTCAGAGCTGCTCACTCTCCCTTGCAGAGGGGAGTCTCTCTCAAGCAAATCCCTCTGCAAAATTACAGCCCAAAACACAAGGGAGAATGTAATTTAGTTGGTAGAGTGCTTGCTTAGCATGCACAGAGCTCAGCACAATCCAGCACAGTGGTGTGTGCCTTTAATGCTAGCGCTGGGGAGGCTCAGGCAACAAGATCAGGAGTATCAAGTCATCTTCAGCCTGGGCCACTTGAGACCCTGTCTCAACTCCCTCCCCCACCTAATAATTTAAGAAAACAAAGTAAGGTTACAGTCTTCAGAAGGAGCATCTCGAGGTTACCGTGCTCAGTGAAGACTGGTGCTGAGCCGCTGTTTCTTACTGAAATGTTGCTGACAGTGTTGTTCTTACTGTTCCAGACCTTGAACTGAGGACTACCTGGACTATCACAATCCTCCCAGCCCAGTGAAGTAGGCCAGGTTCTCAGCTTACACATCTCCCAACTGAGTGCATCTCACTTGCCAGCACCTCATCACCAATAAGAACAGGCTGATCCCAGGGGGTCTGACCTCAGAGTCCCCATCTCATCCCCTAAATGGCTCTGACCTTCATGCTTGTGTCTGGGTCCACAGATTTTCAGAACTTGATTCTTAAAGGAATCATGATGGGGCTCGAGAGATGGCTCAGCAGTTAAGAACACTTGCTGTTCTTCCAGAGGCCCAGGATTCAATTCCCAGAACCCTCATGGCAGCTAACAACAGTCCATAACTCCAGTTCCAGGGACTCCAACACCCTCTTCTGGCCTCTGTGGGCATTGCACACACACAGTGCACTTACACATATGCAGGCCTAAAACACTCATACACATAAAATAAAAATAATAAAATATTTTAAAAAGAGAATCACGATGGTACCGTTCACTTACAAACCACCTTAGTTAGAAGAGTACATAGAATGAAGACATTGACTCTACCTAAATTGGCTCAGGTGAAATTTTCAAGGCTGTGAACCTGGGCACTTGTCCTTCTTACCTGTCGAATCATCGTTTCCTTTACATTAGCGCCCTGGGTGCTGTTCTAGTTTGTTTCTTTATTGCTGTGACAAAACACTCTGACCAATACCAACTTGGGGAGGAAAGGCTTTATTAGGGTTACATCTCCTGGTTCACAGTTCATAACTGAGTCCAAGGTAGGAACTCAGGGCAGGATCCTGAAGGCAGGAGCTGGAGCACAGGCCATGGAGGAATGCTGCTTACTGGCTTGCTCCCCTGGTCCCTGCTCAACCTGCTTTCTTATACAACACAGGCCCACCTGTCCAGGGGTGGCACCACCCACAGTGGGCTGGGCCCTCCCACATCACTCAGTAATCAAGAGGATGCCTCATGGACATGGCCATAGGCCAATGGAGGCAATTTACCAGTTGAGGGTCCCTCTACCCAGGTGTGTCAAGTGGACAACTTAAAGCTATCCAGCATAGATGCTTTGCAAAGTATGTTGTGTGTCGAGGAGTGTCAGCATCCCTGTTTAGTTCATGTTGGGGACGTCACAGTCCAGTCTTGAGCACTCTTCTGGGAGCAGCATCGGTGCAGCTATTCCAGCTGAATTGAGTCAGACAGACCTGCCTGATTGGATGTCTCTCACATTTTCTATATCCTGTCCATTTGGGGGACCGCCTGTCCACCAGTGCTCAGCACTACTGTGGCAGGAAATAAGCCCAGTACACCTCCAGAGTTGTATTGAGGAGCTAGGTGAATCAGCAGGCTATCCCAGGGAGACTCCTTCAGCTCTCTGAGGTCCACAATGAGCGGCCTTGTGCATTGGTTCATGCAGAAGCTTGTCTAAGCCTCACTGGTCAGGTGTAAAACAGGCTCAGGAAAAAAACTAGTGAAGTCCTAAAACTGTAAGTTGCCTCAGCATCCCCTCAGAATTGAAGTTTTCTGTTTTCCTGGAACTGATCTCCATCACTGACAATTTCAGTGCTCCATCTCATGACCACTGCCTGTGGGACAGCTAGATAGAACCTACTTGCCCCGCTCATCCCCATGTCCTGCATGTGCCACACAGGGCTACAGTGACCCTTCTGTCACAGCACCTGACTGTAGAGCACTGCTTGGGTAACACTGGACTCAATGAAAGCTTTGTCTTCAGGCCAGTCACCCTCTCACTTGCTCTCTGAAGAGCTGCTCTCATCTGCCCAGAGGGTCACATACTGCTGCTGAACTAAACATGTTCCTGAAAGTAGCCTCCTGTGCCTCACCTACAGACAGCTGATCCTGTCTCCCATCCCCAAGAATGAAGCCACAAGAGAGTGGCTATCTTGGTAGGAATACACAACACAAATGAGAGCCCCAAGGACATCTGCAAGCAGAAAAGTTTCCACGAGTCAGACTTGTGTACCAGCCCATCCAGCAAGAGAAAGAAATGTCCTGTTTTCTGGTGCAGTGGTGTGCACTGTAGTCCCAGCTACTCAGGAGGCCAAGGGAGCATCATGCTTGAGCCCGAGGGTTCAAGATCAGCTTGGGGATCATGGTAATATTCCCAAAGCATGAGAATATCCATGATCAAATGCCCTGGAGCCCCATCAGAGCAGGGCTGGAAGCTTATGGTCAGTCTCATGAGAGAGAGCAGAGCTCCAAATGCAAGGAGAGACATTACTTCTACCAACTTACAGTCTCTAGTAGTCTCAGATACAGACTAGGGGCTCTGCCTTCCACCGCCACCATTTTGATGGAACACTTCTTGCGCAGCCCAGGACACAGAACACCAGTGTTTGGAAAACTGCCTGGGAGACTCAAGATGATAGCTTCCTCTTAGCTTGAGAAGAAATACTACAGACTCAGAACACTGAAAAACCAGTTTATTAGCTTGACATAATTAAGCCAGTGGAAACCTCATTTCAACACCACTTGCACTGAAATACACAAACATGACCTTGAGCCTACCTGAGACCCAAATGTCTGGGAGTTTTGAATCGACCCATTTGCAACTCGACTTATTTTCAGGGACTGTCAGTTGAACACCCTAAGGCCACACCTGAACATCTGGCTGGTCCCTGAGAGCCCCAGATTTTCCCTAACAACTTTATTACTCCATTTGTCAAATTCTTTAGGTACTGATCATTTGTAAATAATTTTATTTGATGCACACGTTAAAAGTATTTTTCAGACATTAAGTTTCTACTGAGTTTGTGTTTCAGATTATAAGAATTTAGGATTTGTACATTTATGTAAAGTAAAAACTTAGATGATGTTCCAAAGCAAATTTTTGGATGAAAGCTGTTCTGAGAAAGTTGTGCTTAGCTGCTGCTAAACATACTTGTGCAGCCACTCGATCAAATTCCTCCTCGCCTCCTCGATATAAGGCTTGTCAGCAGGTGAGCAGTCTTCTCTCTTACGATGCACAAAGCCGTGAGTTTGCCCAGTAAAGGTTTTAACCTGGTGATTAACTTTGCAGTGTTCTTTCAGCTTCTGGGTCAGCACAGAGACCTGGTATACAAAAAATGTCGTGATGGTGTGATTTTAACCCTCTAGTGACATCTTCCATTCGTAAACTCTTCAGTGCTTAGAGCTAGCATGGGGTAAGTATACATCCACAGCTGTAGTGAATACTGTGTCACACAGCAAAAAAGCTCCAGAGCAATATTCAAATGATGGGACAGCACCTGCACGTGCTCCTGGACTTACTGTGAGGTTGAAACCTAGTAAGCCCACCATGACTTCAAAATGCTGCATGTCAAACATGCATTTAGTGGGCCAAGGCTGTAGCTTAGTAGTAGAGCACATGCTTAGCCTGTGTAAGGCCTGATTTCAATTCCCAATAGCACACACGCATGCATGCACTTAATACAGCTGCCCAATTGAACACCCTAGCTTAGCACCAAGGTACACTGAGGCTACTGCTCGTGTTTAGTGCCACAGCTCTTGGCATGGGAGAAGCTCATCAGACTGTATATGGGTCGACAGGAAAAAAATCATGTACACACACACACACACACACACACACACACACACACAAAGTCGCTAAAGAGTATGTTTTACTTGGTGAAGCCAAGCTAATTTCAGGTGGTTTTCTGTGGCATGCCTGGGGAAATCATTCTCACTGAACTCCAGATCAAAATTCAGGTCCAGCAAGATAGTTCAGTGGGTAAAGGGGCTTGCTGCCAAGCCTGACACCCTGGAATTCACATGAGATGGAAGCAGAGAACAGACTCCACAAATAATAATAAATTAATAAATAATATTTTTAAAAATTCAAAGTTGGGCTGCAGAGATGGTTTAGTGGTTAAGAGCACTTCCTGCCCTTCCAGGAGACCTGAGTTTGGTTCTCAGCACCCACGTGAGGAAGCTCACAGCTGCCTGTATCTCCAAAACCAGGGAATTTGACACTCTCTTCTGGCCTCTGTGGGCAGTACAGTTCTGCACACATACTCACACAGAGACATACACTGCACTTCTGCACACATACCCACACAGAGACATATTATACACAACATTTATAATAAAAATAAAATCCTTAAAAAAATCAAAGTTGGTTTCTACTGAATGGGTGCTGGTTTCACACTGTGGTAAAACTAAAGCACCAAAGACCAAACCATCATAAACTAAGGAAACACCATCTGAATGAATACATTAATTACTACCAGTAATTTCTAAATCACTGTTTTTAAATCATACTTTCCTGCTTTTTCTTTCTTTTCTGGACTTAACAAATCCATCTGTAAATAAGAGACTTTATGGTAACCCAGGTTTTACCATGGAGGAGTGAAGGCAGAGACTGTCCTTCCTGGTGAACACGCCATACCAAGCACACTTCTTCAGACTCCCACACTAAACAAACATGTCCCAGGGTTACAGTTCCATCCTAAGTCCCTCGTAGGCCCCATTTATTTAAAATTTCATCATTAGAGTGATCAATGAATTCTTCAGAATTTTTTCCCCAAAACATCAGGACATGCTATTAAAACCGCAAATGAGAAGAAAAGACGCTGACTCACCTGCTCAAGGGGAATCACAGCATCATTTTCAGCAAAAATGAACAATGTAGGGTTCCTCAGATTATAAACATCTTCAGACTCTCTGATGATGCCTGCAAGAGTTCCATGAGAGTGACTTCCACAGCAGTGCCACAGAAAACCGCTTGAAATTAGTGTGGGTTTACCAAGCAAAGCATACACTTTATTGTCTTTGTGTGTGTGTGTGTGTGTGTGTGTGTGTGTGTGTGTGTGTGTGTGTTGTATGTACATGTTCCTCTATGTCCACCAGGGTGCTTGTGCCTGAGTGTAGAGGTCAGAAGTCAATGTCAAATATCTTCCTCAGTCTCTCTTCTTTTTTGATACAGCGTCTCTCACTGAGCCCAGAACTCAAGGATTGGGCTGATCAGTGAGTTCCAGGGATCCTTCTGTCTCCAGCTGCCCAGTGCTGGGCTCACAGACCTGTGCAACTCTTCCTTTCCCCTTCCCTGATTTCTATATGGGTACTGGGGCTCTGAACTCAGATCCTTATCTTTATATGGAAAACACTTTGACCACCTGAAGCATCTCCCCAGCCCTTGCTTTGTTTTCTTTCTGAAAATATTCTATTTATTTTAATTTTATGTGTGTTAAATGTATTGCCTGCATTTATGTAAGTCAGAAGAGGACATCAGATTCCCTGGAACTGGAGTTAGGAATGGCTGTTAGCCACCATGTGGGTACTGGGAACCGAACCCAGGTCCTCTGCGAGAGCAGACAGTGCTCTTAACCACTGAGCCATCTCTCCAGCCCTTGCTTTGCTTTCTTAAACAATTCCACAGATGTGCTTGGCCTATGAAATTGTGCAGAAAGGAAACTGATTGAACCAAATCATCCTACTCTCCAGCTTGTTCACAAGAAACCAGGCTATTAAATAGCATATTAGATCCTCTGGGCTGCTTGGTGTGTAAGGACACAGAGCAATCAGTGGAATGCTCCCTCCTGGGATGGCTTTTATTTACAACCATTATTCTAGAAGTTTCTACACAAGCCCCACAGGTCCTGGCTCCAGGGAAATGGACAGATTCATTCAATAGCCATTGGACCTGGTATGTACTCCAGTAGGACCCCAGGTGTAGGACCAAGCAGGTCATTTTGTAAGCATCAGAGCTCAGCCTTCTCTCACAACTCTGAAGACTAATTAGTCCACAGCATGCTCTGCCTGAGCCAGGGTGACCCACAGGTATACCTGCTTATGCAGAAACTTAAGTACATGCACTGTTGAAAGTTACCATTTTCAGATAGTTTTAGATAGATAAGGACCAGGGAAATGGCTCAGCAAGTACTTGCTGCAAAAGCCTAGCTACCTGAATTTGATCCCAGAACTCATATAAAATTGTCCTCTGACCACCACACACGCGTCAAGGCATGTACTTTGCACACACACATCATGCATAATGAGAATAATGAATTTTTCTAGCAGTTCACTTTATTTCAAAACAAGATAAAAAAGGTATTAAGAAAGTTACATGAAAAATGAAAGAGCCAAGAATTCAAAGTTGAAGTGACAGAAATCAAGGAAGAATCTCACAGTAGCACAGCCTGGTGCAGGCCTTTGTGGGAGCTGCCGGCAGAGTTATTAGTGAGGGAGCTGGGTTTTTCCACAGCTTCTCTATCCTCTCCTTTAAAACAATCAGCGGTTAAGAGCACTGACTGCTCTTGCAGAGGGCCCGGGTTCGATTCCCAGCACTCACATGGTGGCTATGAACGGTCCTTAACTCCAGTTCCAGGGGAATCCGAAGCCCTCTTCTGACCTCCGTGGCATTGCACGACATGGGTGCACTCACATACATGCAGCCAATACACTCATACACATAAAATAAAAATAAAGAAAATACTTTTAAAAACCACTTGAGAACAATAAACTTTTAAAAAGGAGTAGGTAGGGGCTGGAGAGATGGCTCAGTGGTTAAAAGTAGGTACTGCTGGCTCAGTGGTTAAAAGTAGGTACTGCTCTCGCAGAGGACCCAAGTTGATTCCCAGCACCCTTGTCTGATGGTTCACAACTACCTGTAGCCCCAGCTCCAGAAGGCTCGGACACCTTTGGCCTCCATGGGCACCTGCACTCACGTGCACATACCCCTCCCCCCCACATGAATAAATAAATAAACTAAATCTTTAAAAAATAGAATAGGTAGATAAAATAACTTTCCACTACTCCTGCCAGTGGCGGCAGCAAAGCTAGATAACACGGAGGGTCTCTGCTCCCCTTGCGCCTTTCTGGAAGAAGGCAGAGAATCAAGGAAGGATGGCCAAGCTCCTTGCCCGACCCCGGCAAAGCCACATGATGTGGCTGGAGGGAGTGTGGATGTCCTGTGTGCCCACGTGCGATCAGGGTCTGCAGCTCACGTGCTGCACAACAGTGACCAGCAGGTGGCGCGAGGGAGACGCCCACTCAGGAACACCTTTTCATTCACACAAAGACAGCCTTGGTCTAACAAGTGGCCGGCCACATGGCAGGAGGCCAAGCGGAGATACATTGAGTTTCTTTTGTTGTTTGAGACAAGGTCTCACAATGTGGCTCAGGCTGGCCTGAAACTCTCAGTCCTCGGCTTCAGCCTCCCCAGGGTTGGGATTACAAATGTGTGTGCCGGTGTCTGCCTAACTTTATTTTCCTTTGTGTAATATTTTGAAATTTTTTCTTACTGCTAACAGTACATGAAAATGTCACAGTGAAGGGCCGTTAAGCCAAATAAGAATCACTGGTGCCTGTATAACTTTATGATACGGTAGTCAATTTTCCTCACATTTATTTGGAACGTTTTTTAGTCTGAATGCTTCTAAATCGTGTACTTAATGTGCAGTTTCTATGAACAGACTGAATGTTCTTATTCATTTCACTGCTTTGATAACTTTGTTTTGGCTAAAATGTGAAAGTTGAAATCTATATTTTAGAGTAGGCTTTCCTTTTTCTTACCATCTTCTGTGTGTGCCCACATGCGTGTGTGTGTGTGTGTGTGTGTGTGTGAAACAAACTCAGTATAGTTGAAAGCAATTCATATTTGGAAAGTGTTTTCATAGATATCACTTACAAAAATGTTGCTTGATATTAATAAGTTTCATAAGCTTAAATTCTCTCCCCTTCATCCCAGCTGAAGACAGGGAGACAGGGCCGGCGGCACTCCCAAATTTACAGTGGGGACCCAGGTCCGCTCACTCCCAGCGACATCTCCATAGCTCAGGGTTGACCTAGAACTTCCTATGCAATCCTCTGCCTCAGCTTCCCAATTGAAGGGATTACAGGGCAGGTATAAGTCAACACATCTAGCTCTAGTTTTAGATTCTTTGGGGCACAAGGGATGTTCATGTGTGTCACAAGTGTGTGGAAATCAGAGTGGCCTCAGTTGTCATTCTTGGGTGCCCACTCATCTTGTTAACACAGGATTTCTTCACTGGCTTGGCATTTGCCAATTAGTCTACGCAGGCTGCCCCCGGAATCTGCCCGTCTCCACTTCCCCAGCTCTGGGATTAATGAGGGCCGCCATGTCCATCTATTTAACTCAGTACCTCATATTTGCAAGGAAAGCACTTTACTGAGTCAGCTCCCCAGACCGAATTGCTGATTCTTAAAGCTAAACCTTAAACTGGTCCAACTCACACTATGGGGTTTTGTGTTGCACCATGCTGGAGAGACCTACGCTTTCTGTCACTCAGCCATTCTTCCTGATCTCACCAATAAAACACACACAGCAGACTTACCATAGACAGACACCCCTGCCTTGACTTCCGGGTATGTCATCATCACATGGTGCACGGCAATTCCCCCCCAGCAGAAGCCCACGATGCCAATTTTCTGGGCATGACACTGCTGTTTCAGATACCTCAAGACAGCATCGACCTCTCTAGGACAGGAAGAAAGGCATTAGGAGATCCAGGGCTGCTTTTCGGAAAGCCTTCGAGGGCTGTGCTGCTGCTAATTAGGCTGTCTTGGAGACTGCTACTTGAAGTTGTCAAAGATTCTTTCTTAAAAAATATTTTATTTTGGGGCTGGAGAGATGGCTCAGTGGTTAAGAGCACTTACTGCTTTTGCAGAGGCCCCAGGTTCAATTCCCAATACCCACATGGCGGCTACAAATTGTCCTTAACTCCAGTTCCAGGGGAATCTGAAGCCCTCTCCTGACCTCCGTGGCATTGCACAACACGGGTGCACTCACATACATGCAGGCAATACACTAATACACAAGAATAAATAAAAATAATACCAATAAAATATTTGTAAAATATATTTTATTTTTACTGTTTTTATTTTATATATGTGAGTGTATTGCCTGCCTGCACGTATGTAAGTGCACCCATGTTGTACAATGCCTGTGGAGGCTAGAACTGGGCATCAGATCCCTTGGAACTAGAGTTACAGATAGTTGTCAGCTGCCATGTTGGTGCTGGGAACCAAACCTGGGTCCTCTGTAAGAGCAGTCAGTGCTCTTAAGTGCTAAAACATCTTTCCAGCTCCTCAAAGATTCGTTTTTGTTTGGATGGTTGGCTGGTTGGTTTGGTTTGATGTTTTCTAGAGACAAGGAAAGTCTCATGTAGCAGGTTGGCCTCACACTGGTTAAGTAGCTGAGGATGATCTTGACCTCCTGATCCTCAGCCTCTACTTCACAAGTACTGGTATTGTTAGAGTAGCAAAAAGCCCCGTAAATTCAACGGGACAAGATTGTAAAATCCTAGTTTATCTGTTGGAATACCCACCTTTCCAGTCTCACCGGTCAATCACGGGGTGATAGAACCACCCCTAGGAAGGCAGGTTCACCTTAAGTTGTGCTAAATAGTTGGGGGGAACTACTGGGTGCGTTAATGACACAGTGACTTATTCCTGCCTAGAATCAATCCTGTTGTAGTGCAGAACTCAGCAGAACTTCTGACCAGCCAGTCATGTAGGTCTCTGTAAGTCTGTCAGCTTTCCTGAATTGTTCAGGAAAGCATAATTTCTCCTTTCCTTCTTCATGGCTTTCTTACTAAACATGCTTTCTTTAAGGCTTTGGGTTGCCCCTAGCATCTTGTATTTCTTTACTTTTTCTCCAAAGCTCCCTTCTCCCAGCCACGTGGCTGCAAGTCAGCCACATGTCTGACCTCGATGCAGGCTCTAAACCTGCATGGCTTGACGCTTTCTTTCCTTCTTCCCACCATTCGCCTCTTCAAAGCAGGTGCTAAGATGACCAGCTCACCTGCCCTGAGGATTTTTCTTTAAGATCCTAATAAAATTGTAAAAGCTTTCGTTTGGGTCCATTCTTAAATTCTTTTATGACTGAGACTAAGAACCCCTCAGGGGACCCTCTTTCTCCCAGGTTCAGTATTGCTAGTATGTGTCACCACACCCAACTCAAAGGCATGTTTTGGAACACTGTGCTCGCTGCCTCCTGTCAGAACTGCACTGTCCCACAGGTGTCCCCACCAAGCCCAGCCCCCCACCAGTCACCTAGCACCAAGATCTGACCAGCTGCCTCCCAGCTGAGGACGGCGAGGACAGAGAAGCTCCTCCCCAGCTCAGGAGAAAGGTGAAACTTTCAGTGTGACTCTAAGACCCCAGTCCTTGGCCTGGTCCCCGCTGTGAGCACCCATCTCATCTCCCACTCACGTGTCAGCCATGACCATGGGCAGTTCCCCAGGCAACCTCAGACTGACACACTCACAACCAACCTTAGTAGTCCTCCAAGTCCACATCACCCATCTCCTCTGCCCAAAGAGCACAGCACGGTGGAGAGCTACAGGGACCATTACCATGAGGACAGTGTCCCTCATCTCCCTCATCTTGCAAATGGCTCAGTTGCAAATTGATTGGCTGGAACTTGGAATGTGTTTTCAACCAGAGGCACTGCACCAACATGTGGGTAGGGCTCCAAGGCCGGCCCAGAGAGCTCTGTGTGATCGGCTGGGGAAGAAATGATGTGTGACTGCAATTTTTAAAAGGTGTGAGAGATAAACAATGCCTAATTAGTTTTGAAAACCAGAGAGAACCATATTACTCCTTCAACCTACTGACAAACTGTGCATAGCAGATCAAGAAATGTATGTCTAGGTAAGATTTGTCTGAGAACAACTGGTCTTTGCCCAGGATTTGTCTACATGACACACAGTAATTAAAAATACCAGACCGGTGGAACTAACCTTCTTGGGTGTTTAACAGACATACTTTGAGGTCTATAATAATTTGGTCAGAGGGACATAAAGGACACTTTTTGCTCCTTGCCCTCCTAGGTCGACTAGTTCCAGGGGACTGTGGGCATCTCTCAAAATGTCCTGCTCTTTGCCCAGGATTTGTCTACATGACACACAGTAATTAAAAATACCAGACCGGTGGAACTAACCTTCTTGGGTGTTTAACAGACATACTTTGAGGTCTATAATAATTTGGTCAGAGGGACATAAAGGACACTTTTTGCTCCTTGCCCTCCTAGGTCGACTAGTTCCAGGGGACTGTGGGCATCTCTCAAAATGTCCTGCGATGGTGGTGGGTCACCTGCCCTCTTGATCAAGGAGCCCAAGGAGACCCCACCAGACGGACTTGAACCAGTGTCCTGTCTGTAGGGAGGAGGGTCAACACAGAGGAATCATGTCCTCCATGCTTCCAATCGAAGCCAACCATGGTCGAGCAGGACCTTTGACTTATCTTCACATAGGCAGAACTGGTAAAAGAAAGGAGCCAGGGGCTCCTCCCAAGCCCATGTGACCCCTGAGGAACAGATCCTCAAAGGACCTTAAGAGTAAAAATAAATCGGTTTATCTGGACCAACTGTACGGCATTAAACACCCAAAAGGAAAGCATAACCAAAGATTAAAGGGGCCAATATAATTTCATAAGAGTCCACGTGTATAGCTAAAGGCTACATAATGAGCAACAATGCCGGACAGGCAATACCTTCTTTTGAGTTGTTGGCCACGGTGGCCAAAGGGATTCCCAGTTAGTAACACAGCATAGAACTGGGAAATTGAACAGCAGACCCCAGTCTTATCCAAAGGAATATTGACAACTGATTAGTGCTGGATGAGGAACAGTTGACCCTCCTAAAACAGGGACCTCTAGATAGGCTGACTAGATTCACCAGAAGGGCAAGTGGAGGGGGGGATGTCTGGGGGTGCCAACAATGCAGCAGATAGTAGCAGGGATAACAGAGCATAGGGGCTTTAGTGGGGGGGAGGAAGGCTTATTAAAATTTTTAAAAAATATATGATTAAAAAATAATAATTCTTCAAAACAAAAAAATTGCTCCTTAATAATTAGTAGATGTGAAAAGCATTATCATTGAAATCTACTTGATGACTTTATATCCATGTTCAGATGCCAAGGAGCTCAGAAAGTAACTGACTGTGACTAGTAATAATCTGATATATAGAGATTAGAAATGCACGTGCAAACATCTTAACGTCAATTGCATTAAAAATATATTTTTCTGTATGAAACTGTGTATTTTAATAATGAAATGGAGATCTTTTTGGGGTTTGAAACTTCATTTAATTTTATGTTTTATAGGATTTATACGGAGTGTGATATTATGTAACTATTAATTCAACTGTAAACCTAAAAATTTACAGCCAATTTTGAAAGAGACGCATCTTAGCTCTGGAGATTGTTATTGAATATGATAATGCTGTTGTAATGAAATGCCTCTTCTGGTTATATGGTTATTAAATAAATAATTTTTAAAAATAATAAAATATTTTTGAAATTTTTTAAAAAGGCGCAAAGCAACACTATGCTATCTCGTCTTCAATCACTGTGTAGCCTTGGCTAGCCTGGAGCTCCCTATGTAGACTAGGCTGATCTTGAACTCACAGAGATGAGTCTCTGAGGAATTAAAGGTGTGCACCGCTATGCCTGGCCCTCTTTTTTAATCTTAAAGTGTATTTGAGCACATTGGGACAAATGCATCCTAGCATTCTGCGTATGTTTGTTTCCATGTTGCAAGGGCAGCAATTAACACTGCAAAATAAAATATAACCAACAATATTTTTTGTCGTTTTGGTTTTTTGTTTTTCTTGACTACTCTGATTTTAGATATGAATAACTGCCTTAACTGAGTGCGACAAGAGGATTCTTTGAGGGGCGTGGGTGCTGGTTTGCTTCGTAGCTCACTCTGCCCCCACCCTGCCTTCCTGGGAACAGAAGGGAGCAGCTTAGGATGAACCACTCTGCCCCATCTATATACTTTGAGCAGCTCTGTTCAAGGTTGCAGTAGAGTCTGTGGCTCATGCTTGACCAATAAGAAAAGAGAACTCCCCTGGCCACAGTGACGGATTCCAGGATGGCCTTCATGCCTGGTTACATCCAAGGGAACAAAGCAATGCTTCCTCAGTTGCTGGGAGACAGACCACGAGAGATTGACATGCTCAGACATCTCACCTCTCAAAGGTGAGAGCTGCATGAGGATGAAGTCAGTGCACAGGAAGTGGACCTCAGAGGTGATGGGGAAGAGCCCTGGGGATGCTCTAAGCCTAGGGGAGGCCTGGGGTCCTTGTCACTTTCTACGTTCAGCTTACCTGGTGGACTAGACCAAAACTCTCTTACATCACATTGTCTAGGGCCATGTGAAGTCTCCCCTCAGAGAGAGGGAGGAAGGGAGGAATCAGGTGATGAGGCCCAGCCATCTGCTGCCTCCTTGGGCTGTGCCACAAATACAACCTTGTCTCCTAATAACTTACCGATCAATTTTTCTGGCATTTCTTTTCTTCACCCACTCTGGGAAGGTGGACCAGTCATTAGCAGGGTCCCATGGCTCTTGCCCCACAAAGAAGTCTGGGACGATGGCTCTATAAAATATGGGCATGAATCAATCAATCAGCCTTGCAGAGTTGCCCAGATTGGGTGTTTACTGGTTTTAAGCATCTTGTTAGGTTGGTAATTCTGGTCACAAAGAAGGAAAAGCAGGTGCCATAAAGTGAAAGGCAAACTTTCACTTTATGGCAAGGAAGCCAGCTGAAGCCAGGCCAGAGCACCTCAGACTTCACAACTGCAGGTGCACAGCCTTCAGCAGCCTGGGTGTGACCGTGCCCTGAGACATGGCAAGGCCTTCAGTGGGGACACTCCTTAGGAGCTATTCCAGTGCAGGATGAGGGGACACCTGGACCCATGCAAAGGGCATGTGGCTACAAAGGTCCCCCCTGTCCCTGTGGAGCTGTTCCCCTCAGCCAGCCAAGGAGTCTCCTGGCCTTGAACACTGGCTTTGGTTGAAAGGCACCCCTGAGGAATGTGACTAGTCACTGTGACCCAGTAGTATGCCCAGACCTTTGCCCAGGCTGCCAGAGAGACAGTTTCTTGCCTCTAGAGTAAAGTCCACAGCAGGTTCTAGAACAGGCCGCAGACAGAGCAGGTCAGGCTTGCTCGTAGCCATTCTCCCACAGGTCATCCCAGGAAGGATGGAGCCAGTATGGCAGGTTCCCAGAAGAAAGAGCTGCCCACTGGCTGCACTGGGGAAACCCAGCTTCTCTGCACAGGTGGGCAGAGCACCCAAGCTTGGCCGGAACATCCATTCATTACTCACCTCCCTGTTTGACCTAATGTCCTTGGAATTATTAGCTAAATCCTTTTGGAATATACTACCTGCTAATTGGCTTCCACCAATGTAAAAGCTAAGAATGTCATCAGACAGCATCTGTGGTCAATAACAGAAGTCATCCCACTTTACTGTAACCCATCTACCTAGTATTTCCTCCAATGTCCTTAAAAAGTACCTTGTTTATGACCTTCTTTTGCTTTGCCTCACTTTTCAACAGGCCTGTGAAACCTGCCCTGAGGCTCAGATGCTTCAGGGCCCAAGTGTTAAGTCCTATGAGTCTGCACAGTTGTGCTGGCCTGTGCCTGGGCAGAGCCCTTCATGGGGAGAGGACTCTCTGTGCAACAGGTCTGTAGGGTCAGGCTTCCTGGGGGCACCTGGTGTCCAGGGATCTGGTTGAAAGCAGTTAACTCCCTCAGATCAGTACTTAATTTCATAGGACAGCCCCCATTTCCTTGACCTCGTGGAGGTAACAAGGTGGATAATGCAACTAGAATGCGGGCCAGGCTGTGGCTTTTTTAAAAAATTTATTTATTTGTATTTTATGTGTATGAGTGTTTTGCCTGCATGCATCTAAGTACACACGTGTGTGCAATGCCCAAGGAGGCTGGAAGGGGGTGACAGATCCCCTGGAACTGGAGTTACAAGCTGTCATGTAAGTTCTGGGAGCTGGACCTGAGTCCTACGGAAGAGCAGGCAGTGTTTTTCATGACTAAACCTCTCTCCAGTCCCTGGTTTTGTCTTTTTGAAGGGAACAAAATGGACCTTAGAAATTTCCATGAATAAGCAAAGAACAAAACTTTATACATACGTGTATCCATTTCCAGCAATCATGTCAGCCATATACCTGGTGTTAGGCATCTGCCAACCGAATATGTCTTGAACGACAATCACAGCCTTGCCTGCATCCACGGGGGACCGGGTGACATAGGCCCTGATGTGCTCAACCTGAACCTCCTGACCCATGCCCCCATACTCTAGCCTGTGACCAATATCACATGGGCAGGGATTAGCTTCGTTAGCCATTGGGAGTCCTGATGTCGGGCTACAGAGAGAGAAAGAGATAAAGATGTATTGCATGCTGGGCAGTACCAATCTAAGTATTGTAAGTACTAAATAAACTATCACCAATATTACTTGGGAAAAAGGCATTCTAACACTATGGCATTTATTCTGAAGTAAATCAGTGGTTCGATGGTTAATGTTAACTGTGACCTCGATTGGATTAAGAGATGCCTCCAGGATTAGGGTCCTGTCCTGTGGGTAGGTCTGAGATTGTGTTCCCAGAGACAGCTCCTGAGGCCTCTGTCTCCTGGATCAGTTCCTGGATGGATTCATAAGAGGGTAGTGGAATTGTGAGATGATGAAACACAGGACATGGGGTAGTTAGAGAAAGGAGTCTCGAGGAGCATGTCCCTGGAACTACGTCTTGCCCTGGTCTCTGTATTCTCTCTCTTCCTCTGTTTCTCTCCTGTTAGTGTGTGAACTGCTCTTCTCCACCATGATGGATGGAATCATTTGAGCCCAAATCAACCTTTGCCCTTGTAAGCTGCTTATGTCGGGCATTTTGTCACAACACTAAAACCAAATAATACAAATGGTAATTTTTTTTTCTGGCACATTGAGGATTAAGACTCATGAGAATTTGTATCCATCACAAATACCAGTAATGCTAAGCTATAGGAGCTACCAGACATAAAAATGGGAGAACTAGTAGGAAAAAGGGTCAGGGGGTAAGATTGGTGGATGTGATGCTTAATTGTGATCCTCGGCTGGATGGGATTTAGACTCATCATGGAAACGAATCTTTGGGCTTATCTGTGAGTGAGTATCTAGACTATGTTAACTGTGGGAAGACCCATTGGAAATGTGTGTGTTATCTTGCCATGGGCCAAAGTTCAGGACTGAATAAACAGGAGAAAGCATCTGAGCGTAAGTATTCATCCCCCTCTGCTTCCTGACTGTGGATAAAACAGCCAGCTGCCTCCTCAAGCGCCTGCCACCATGCCTTGATAGGTCTTACCCTTGAACTATGATCTAAAAAAAACTCTCCCTTCCTTCAGCTCTCAGGGGTTTTGTCATGGCAATAACATAGTAACTAATACAGACAGAAAACCATAGCCAGACAAGCAGATGCTGACTGGAATGACCCAGAAAACATGACCATCAGATGCTTAGCATTATGAGTCCAGTGAGGCCTTGGAACAATGGGATGAGAATTTTTCCAACCCACTTACTTACGCAATGCCAAAACTTCTTTGGGAGAAATAAACAAGAAAAGCTCGACATGATCAAAATAATACAATGTGTGAAATTCCTGAAGAAACAATAAAAAGGCCAGGTGTTGTACCATGCACCTTTAGTCCCAGCACTCAGAAGGAAGAGGAATTCAGATCTCTGTGAGATCAAGACCAGCCTGGGGCTACAGGGAGATCTTGTCTCAAAAACAAAACAAACAAAAAAGAAATATTTTTAAAAATCTAAAGAAAAGATCTATGAATCTAGATTAGAGCACTATGGACCAAGCTCAGAGCTCTATAGACCAAGTTAGAGGTCTACAGACCAAGGTTAGAGCACGTGGTGGTTTGAATAAGAATGTCCCCCATAGGCTCCAAGTAGTTGGACATTTTGTCCCCAGTTGGGGAGGCTTTAGGAGGTGCAGCCTTGCTGGAGGAAGCTCGTCACTGGGGGCGGGCTTTCAGAGCTCTTAAGTTGCCAGATTTCCAGTTGCTGTCTGCTTCCTGCGCCTGCTTGAAATGTGATTGCTTACCTTTCTCCTTCAGCCTCTGCTGCCATGCCTCTCCCGCCATTATGAACTCTTAACCCCCTTGGAATTATAAGCCAAATAAACTCTTCCTTCTTTAAGTTCCCTTGGTCATGGTGTCTTATCACAACAAAAGAAAAGTAACAAATACAGAGCAATGTGGACCAAGGTTAGAACTCTATAGACCAAGGTTAGAGCTCCCCACATAGTAAACGTTGGTGCAAGTTTCAATAAAGATTTATACAAAAGATACTATGTAAATATGATACAATCAGGGTGGGGACATAGCTGAGTTGGGAGACCACTCACTGTCTAGGCACGAAGCCCTGGGCTCAATACCCAACGCTGTAAAAACTGAGTATGTGGCACACACCAGTAATGCCAGTAAAGGCAGGCAAGTACAGGAAACAGCAACCTGGGACTCTACTTGGGTCAGGCTATGCACACACCTGTCTTCTAATAACATAACTGGTGGCCCTGGACCCTTACCTGTATATACTATGCACACACACCCTCTCCAAACATGCACCTAGCAACCTGTTAGCAATCTGGGACTCACATGTGCATCAAGCTGTATGCCCACCCCACTCAAAACAATAGAATAAGTTTCTTCTTTCCTTAACAACCATCAAACTTAGACAGACTGTAATCAATCATGCTCCAAGGCTGGGTGTGGTGGCACACATCTGTAGTCCTAGCACTTGGGAGTCCAACGCAGGCAGATCTCTGTGAGTTCAAGGCTAGCCTGGTCTACATAGTGAATTCTAGGCCAGCTGGGGCTACAGAAAGGCCCCGTCTCAAAAGGACCAAAAAAAAAAAAAATTAATCATGCTCTAGTTAAGCTCAGTTTTGAGGGTAGGGAGATAATCTGGTCTCAACTGGTTTTGGGTGCATGTGCAATAAGGCAAACTATGTCTTCTAAGTGAATTTTTAGGGAGAATTCCCCATTTAACATCTTAAGCCTATATGCATAACTTAATGCATGTGGTTAAATTCAGATGGAGTACAGAAAGGGATGTGTACAAAGAAAAGGTTCTATTAACTTGAAAACTGTCAGTCAAAATAGATAACCACCCAAATTATGCCCCTAGTAACCAAACCCTCCTCTTGAACCCCTTTAAAAGAAGGCCCAAGCAAGAATCAGGACCCTTGAGTACTTTTTCACCCTTGTGGTCTGCTGTCATTCTTTACAATTTTTTAAAAATAAAATTTATTTTTATTTTATGTGTATTTGTCTACATGTATGTACATGCACCTGTGCATGCAATATCTCAGGCGTTACCATGGTTATTAGCTGGGACCCCATCCTCTGCAAGAGCCGTCAGCGCTCTTAAGTGTGGAGCCATCTCTCTAGCCTCTGCTGTCACTCTTGACAGTATAGCTGACCTGTTCTACTGCTTTACTTTGAATAAAGTTTCCTTGCTACTGTGCAATCTGTGGGAACCTTTATGTCAATTCCTTGAATAAGAGACCAAGAACCTGGAAACACCTAGCCCAGAACCTGACCACTGGTAACAATAACCAGCATTTGGAAGGTAGGGGCAGTAGGATCAGAAGTTCAAGGTTATCCTCAGCTACATAGCCAGTTTGAGGCCAGCCAGGGCTACATGAGACTCTATCTCAAAACTAAATAGCTGGGTGTGGTGGGAGGCAGAGGCAGGTGGATCTCTCTGAGGTTGAGGCCAGCCTGGTTTACCTAGGGAGTTCCAGGCCAGCTAGGTCTACAGGAGAACCCTGACTCAAAAAACAATAACAACAAAAACTAAACTAAATAAATAAACATAATGAAATCATAAACTCAAAAGGTTTAGAGATTAATTACAATGAAAACACAATACAGCAAAAGTCAATACAGTAGAATGTAGAGAAATCTGTTCAGTCTATATTGCATATGTTCAACAAGAGGAAAGAATGAAACTAAGCTAAACCTTAGGGAGATGGGGAAATAAAGAAAACCCCATCTTAGTCTGCTCAGGCAGCTGTAATAAACAGCAGAAACGTGGTCTGACAGCTCACAAGCAACTGCACAGCTCTGAAGACAGAGAACCCCAAGATCAAGATGACAGCAGATCTGTTGTCTTCGGAGGGCCTAGTTTAGGATCCACAGTGGCGCCTGTTCTCTGGGTCCTCACAGGGTGGAAGGTACAGACAGTTCTCTGGAGTCTTTTATAAGAGCACTCAGAACACCCTAAGAGCTGGGCCCTGTTGACCCTGTCCCTTCCCAGAGGCCCCCCTCCTGAGAGCCTCATCTTCAGGACTGGGATTTCCACCTGACTTTTGGAGGGCACATACACACTCAGACCACAATAAACCCTTCAAAGGTAAATCAAGGAGAAGAAATCCAAAACATTAAATTCTGACTCCTTGAAGAGTTCTAAACCAGGCACATATACAGCTAAGAGGTGATCAATAGAAAAGGAAGAGAAACACAAAGCAATAACCCATCTGTGGTGGGGAGGAGAGGCACAGGGAGGGCGGTGGGGAAGACAAAAATAAATACAAAATAAAAGTAGAAAGGTGGGCAGCACCTAAGAAATGACATCCAAAGTTGTCCTCTAGTCTCTATGCATGCGTGTACATGTGCATGTATACACACATACGCCTGCACATATGCACACATGCACACAAAAATAAAATAAAACACAAAATATCTGTAATTAACAGTAAAATTCCAGAGCACCAGAAAGGAGGGGAGAAGAGGAACAGAAACACAGGAAGGGGATGGGTGTCCCAAGGGCAACTAAGGATGTGCCAGGCCTGCATCGTTGGCTCACAGAACTAAAAAGCATGAGATGGATAGAAAACTTGGGAAAAGAGGCCAGAAGCCAAAGCCAGGGGTAGTGCACTGGCCTGGGTACTGGCCTGGGCTCTGGTATGGGCACTGGCCGGGACACTGGCCTGGACACTGGTCTGGACGCTGGCCTGGACACTGGCCTGGACGCTGGCCTGGGTTCTAGTCTAGGCACTGGCCTTGTGCTGGCCTGGGCACCAGCTGCAGGCCTTGTTTTTCCAGCAAAGTCCTGGAGTGAGGTGCAGTTGTCAGGTGGACAGAAGGCAGGGCAGAGCTCTGTAAGATCATCCCAGGCAGCTACAAGACACAGTGGCAGATCCACCTGGGGAGGACGAACTGGCTAATGAAGGGGCAAAGAAGCCACAGCAAGCTGTCCAACAGAGAAAACAGCCACACGGGACCCCTGCCAGAGCCACAGGTCACCTCCCAGGACTCGAAATCTAAGGGGAAAGCAAAATTAGCCTGTTCCAGGGAGATGCAGGGCAATGCCTTCCTTCCCCTCTGGGATAGGCAGAGTTCTTAAATAAGACCCAAAAATATACCACTCAGGAAAAGACTAGTCAGTTTCATTTTACTCCAACCGTTAGGAAAGAAGAAAATGAACGCAGCAAGCAATACCGAGTGCCGCTGAGGCCAGGAAGACCTGCTGCAGTCTGGCCTGGCACTGCTGTGTTGTCTTTCACAGACACCAGGAGCGACCAGTCTGCACTTGCTTCCATCGGAGCGGGTGAGGAGAGTGCCCCCACATCCTCAGAGTCTAGTGAGCCCAGGGGAGTCCTCTCTACTTAGACATCCTTGAGATGTTTCACAGCAAAAAGCTTTAAAAATTTCACCATAAATAAGATGATAAAGTTACCAAGATAGCAGTTAAAAGACTAGAGCCAGGCATGCACCTTTAGCCCAGCACTCGGGAGGCAGAGGCAGGGGGCTCTCTATGAGGTCAAGGCCAGCTTGGTCTACATAGTGAGTTCCTGGCCAGCTGGGGCTACAGGGAGACCCTGTCTCAAAAACACCAAAAAAAAAAAAAAAAAGATTAATAACTAGATTAAATAACTCCATAAAAAAATCAGGTACTTTCTGTAAAGAGAAGAAACAACATAGACCAGTGCACTGAAAGAGAGTCACAGGTGTGTGTGATGCATGTGTTGCTTGTGTGTGGTGTGTGTATGGTATGTACATGTGGTATGTGCGCATGTGTGTGTGGAGTGCATTTGGTGTGCATGTGTGTGGTGTGGTATGGTGTATATATATGTGGTGTATGTTTATATGTAGTATGTGTGTATGGTGTGGTGTTGTGGTTGTGTGGTGTGTGTGTGGTGTATGTGGTGTGGTGTGGTGTGTGTGTTGCATATGTGTGTGTTGTGGGTGTGTGGTGTGCGGTGTGTATATGTAGTGTGGGGTGTAGTGTATGTTGTGTGTGAGAAGTGTGATGAAGATATGGTGTGTGTGATGAGGTGTGTGTGTGTTTTTATTACCATGTATTGATGAAAGGACATTCTTGATGGCTCTCAGGGTGATAGCTGGACACCATGTAACTAAACACCAAGTAGAGAATGGGAGGGAGAGGAGGGAGGGAGGGAGAGCGGGAGAGGATTCTGAGAGCTACTCTTAACTGGGCTCTCAGAGACCACAGAAAGTCTAGCCTTTCCCAAGTAGTTGGTAATGTGTCCCTTTCAACTTGACCTCCAATTCCATAAGGAATTTCTACAGCAGAACAAGGTTTTTGTCTCACAGAATGGGGTAGAGCCAACACTGACCCAGAAATGCCTGTGTGGAAGGCTGGAGTCCTGCCCAGCCCTTTCACATGGGCTCGGCTCCAGAGCAGAGCTGTGGAACAAGGGCCAAGCCCACTGTGCGCAGGGTGGGGTGAGTTTTTATCAACCAGCCTGCTGCAGGCCAAGTCAAGTCTCAGGGAACAGATCCTTGACCCTTATACCCTTGACTGAACATATATTTCTGTATCTGCCAGTGGGATTTTTGCTTTTTTTCCCATAACACATTTATTAAAAGATAATTTTCAGGAAAAAGAAAAGACATTGCGCTCATCAGACATAAAATGATTACAGGTTGGGGATTTTATGTTCCTGGGATGTAGGAGAGAAACAGAAGATTTTCTAGTTGCCTGGATGGAAAAGTCAAAAGAAGACAGATTTCTATCCCTGAGGAATGTGGGGTGAAATGCAAAGGATACACAGCTTTCTTCCCAAGGAAAGGAGGAAGCCATTAGTTCTCTAGGAGGCAGGACAGAGCTTAGAAATCTATGGTCCATCAACCCATTAGCTGAAAAGAACTGCAGAAGACTCAAATACACAGAACAGGGCTGGACTCTGACAGCCAGAAAGTGAGCTGCATGCAGATGAAGGGTAGCTCTCCGCTGGAGCTCAGAGCTGCTTTACATTACAGGGCCCTTCACAGGAGTGACAGGCTTCCTGTTCATCCTGTATGGGGAAGGGAGGACATGTATAGCAGACTTGTAAACCTGTGTGTGAGACACACCCTGGCCACCCTGAGAGCACGCCTGTGGTGTGTGCTAGCAAAGCCTTCAAAAGTCAGGGAGTTCTTGGTAGTACCAGGAAAGGCTAGAGCATTCCCCTGAGGAGGGCATGCAGCCCCTTGAGGAGGACATCCCCCTGAGGAGGCCATCCCCCTGAGGAGGGCATCCTAATGACCAGATAGGTTCCTGGTAAGACCCCCAGTGGCTAAGAGCTTAAAGCACAAAATTTCCCCATAAACATTCATGCAAGATGCTGCAAATGTGGGAATAATCATGGGTCCACTCTGTTTCGGAGGGACCCTTGCTGCTCTTACAGACCTGCCTCTTACAGGCAACGTCCTTTGCTAAACTATAAGCCAAAACAAAAAGTGGGCTGGAGATATAGCTCAGTCAGTGGAGTGCATGTCCAGCATGCATGAGGTCCTGGGTTCAATCCCCAGAGCCCTCCAAACCTGGCATAGTGGCACACACCTGTAATCCCAGCATTGAGGAGGTAGAGGCAGGAGGGTCAGACATGCACTGTCATCCTTGGCTGTATTGGGAGTTTGAAGATATATTTGCACTTTCTGGCTTCTTTGTTGAACCAGTTAGGACATCTGCCTTCTCTTTCATGAATAAACAAAACCTGTGCTATGTGCTCACTTTTATATCTGGAGGAATGTCTTGATTTTACCTTTTGTGGAAAATAAGCTTTTAATAGTGGAACTGAGTATTGCTCTTTCCCACTGGAAGCCAGAACTGGGTGGTAAAGAAAGTGAGGATATGGTTTTCCTGATTTCATACCCTAAGGATTTATGTAATTCAGAAGTCAGACCACACAACAAAGTTTTCTAAAAGAAATGAAGGGGGGAGTGGAAAAAAGACTTTAACAGCACAAGATACAAATAGGATTGTAACCAGAAAACTTAGGAATAAAATGCTTAAGAATAAAAACTTTACATTTACAAACAGAAATCAAACAAATGGCAGGGGCTTAGGGTTCAAGGCCAGGAAGGCTAAAGTAAGCAAGTGGTGTTTAGCAGTGAGGGGCTGGCAGTTTACCCTTTACTGGCCAAACATTGCAGATACTTTGGCCCTGGGTTTTCAATCTTGCCTTAGGGAAGGCAGGGTGAATTCTTACCCTTAGGTGATTCTATGACTGTCTACTCTTCCAAATACTTAAGTTCAGTCATCAAGCTTGCCTTTTGCATAGGGTCTGTGGTTTGGATTAGAAGCCTAAATGTGATAAGCACACAGTGGCCTCCTTAAACACATCAATCATGGTCCTGCCTTGGGCCTCTCCTCAGGCTGTTCCCAGGCCCATTTGGCTGACCCATGTGTGCCTAGGGATCCTTTCTGACCACCTTGTTTTAATTGGGCTCTGAAAACAACAGGTGGCCTCTTCTATCAGCAACTGGACATAGACTGCAGTACTCAATCTTAGCAGGGCCTGAGCCAGACCCAGTGGTCAGGGAGTGTAAACTGTACTGTCTTTCTTGGCAAGGCTGACCCAGCATCTAGGATGTCACACTCTTGATATGACAGTGCCTCTTTGCTTCTGTGGAAGCAAAAGAAATCCTGACAAATGTGGATTCTGATTTTGGTGCAAGTATGTTCAATTTGTTCATAGCTTTGTTTCTAAAAACTATACAGTCAAAACTTCTGTCCTGAAAATAGAATTTAACCTCAGGGAGGAAGGGCTTTTAGGTTTTGTGTTAAACGGCAGTAAGAATACAAGTTTGTATAGGGGGATTTCAACTGTTTTAAAAGCGTATGCCTGAACACCTACAGGATTTATACACTTAGAAATAAAGGGTGTCTAGGACCGGCTAGGATTGAGGTCCTTGCTTTTTTGCAAAGGCAATATATTATTTTCATGAAAGTCCATTTCTAAAGTGGACTGAGGTAAGTTCCTCCCCTTTGCACTGGCAGAGCCCTTTGCTGTAATGCAAACAAGCCCCCCTCCCCCCGCGCCCCCTTCCCCCGTGACAGGTCCAGCTCTGGAGAGACCTCCTTTTCCGGGCCCCAGGAGAGCACCTACCTTGTCCGGTGGCAGAGGAAAGTGCTGCACACGGGAGACGTAGACGCAGCGGGACAGAGCAGAGCCTGGGGAGCCAGCTGGGGAGGGAGAAGGGGGAGGAGCCTCGGCAGCATGGGAAGTGGACTCGGTGACGGAGGCCCTGTGGCTACTCCCAAATTCGCGAACTCCAGAGAAAGCGCTAGAGTGCAGGGGAGGAGGAGGCGGAGGAAGCGAAGGGAAGACACCTGACAGTGTTCCGGGAGCGGGAGCGAGGCAAGGGGGTGCGGTGGAAAAAGTGCTGGGAGGGGAGAGGAGGAGGGGACCTGTGGGAAGGGGAGGGAGGAGGTGTGAGAGGGAGGAAGAGGGTCTGAAAGAGAGACACAGCCAAGCCGGGACAGTGACCCCAGGCCCTGCTCAGACCTGCAGCTCTCTGTTGGAAATCAAAAATCAGGCTAATTTTTAAGAATAAACTATTACACATTGCGAATTCACCCTCCATCCCCACCCCCACGTTGTCTGTTCATGTGACTGAGATCTAGGTAACAACTTGTCTACAGAAGGTAAAAGAAGAAAACCTTGCGACCAGTGGGTAGGGGGCGGGGTGGCGGCTTTCTACACTTTCCCAAGGCAAGGGCATTGAAACCTTCATTTCCCAGGAGGACGTGTGAATGCAGGCCTGTGGCCTTGCCCTTGACAGAACTTGCCTTCAGAAGGAAGAGCCAGGCGGTAATACAAAGAGACCATTGGGGCAGTAGTGTCTCTGAAAGTCACAATGCCAAGGGGACTCAGATAAAGATGAAGGGAACCCTGATGCCTGCCAGATGCCGGTGACCTTCACTAAACCTTTCAGGTGAGACAGGATTGCTTCTCTCCCAGTTACCTACAAACTGCATGGCAGTATATTTGTTGGGAGATTTCAGAGGACAAGGGGGTGGGGCAGGAGAGTATCCTCTAGACAGCTTTCCACTGAAACAAAACTTGCTATAAGGCTGAGTTGTGGGATGGAGAGATAGCTCAGCTGGTAACATCCATAACATCAAGACTGAGTTGTGTGAGAGAGAGAGAGAGAGAGAGAGAGAGAGAGAGAGAGAGAGAGAGAGAGTTTCCTTGGGTTGTTTGTTGGTTTTATTTGATTTGGGTTTTTTAATTATATGTATACATGTGTGTCTCTGTGTTTGAGTGTGGGTTTGTATATGTAAGTGCAATGCCCTTAGAGGGCACGGGATTTCTCTGGAGCTAGAGTTAAAGAAGGTATGAGCATGCAGATGCAGGTGATGGGTCCTCTGCAAGAGCAGTAAACACTCTTATCTGCTGAACCATCTCTCCAGCCCTTGTTATTGCTTTTGAGACAGGGTCTCCCTTTGTAGCCCAGGCTGACCTTGAATTTGCTCTGCAGCCTGAACTGACCTTAAACTCTTGATGTTCCTGTCTCTCTCTCTACCTTCCATGTGCTGAGTTACTGGTGTGTGTGTAAGAGAGACAGACTACATACAACTATAAGTCTCTCTCTCTCTCTCTCTCTCTCTCTCTCTCTCTCTCTCTCTTTCTCTATCTATCTCTAGCTCTCTCACTCAAATAGAAATAGAGATACTTATTTTTTAAAGGGAAAACACTCCCAAGAATGGGAGTAGACTAGTAAGCAGAGAAAAGCCTATGCTCAAAATTGTAAGACTTTTTAAAGACTTATGATGTAGCTCAGTTGGTAAAGTGCTTGCCTGGCAAGCACAAAGCCCTTTATTCCCCAGTACTGTATAAATAAAACCAGGTATGTTGGCGCAGTCCAATAATCCAAGCACTTGGAGGGTAGAGACAGGAAGACCAGAAATTCAAAGTCCTCCTTGGCTACATAGCAAGTTTGAGGCCAGCTTGTGCTACATGAGACTCTGTCTCATTAAAAAACAAAACAAAACTTTAAAAAGCACCTTTCAACACCTTTGAAGCCCCATGGTCAAGGAAATAATAAGCCTGACTAATTACATATCATTTTCTGTATTTGCTAAATTTAGTTCCTTAACCATCACTATGAGCTCTGATTTAATAACAGTTATTAATAGATGGGATTTTATATTCACAAGTCTCTGTCTTGTCACAGTTTGCTGCCCTGTAGTGAATTATGAGCCTTGCTTGAGGGGCTGAGTAGAGTGAGGTCCAGGAGAGAAGCTGTCTGTTGTCACTAGGGCTCTGGATCAGGGTCCATCTTCCAGTTGACAAACACCCGCTTTGACTCACGTTATGACCTGAGGTTTCTCAGGATGGAGGCTGTGAAGATTAACTGAGCAGCTCCTCCTGCTCCAGCTCTGCCCCCACTCTGTGGGCAACCCAAAGAAATGTGCTTGGTCTTTGGACTCATACCCTTCTCTACAAAATGAGGGTTTACTCTAGATTTGATTCTCAAACGTCAGCAGCATCTGATTCCCTGGAGGGCTATACCCTAACCACACAGCTTGTCATCCAGAGAGGTCAGATGTACTACAGAAACTGGACCCCTTGAGATAGACACATACGCATAAACACCACATGTGGTGTATTGCAGGGATCACCTTACATAATTACAGAGGCTGGCTAGGCAGTGTTGCTAGGAAACCACATCCAATGTTGAAGGTCAAAGTTGACATAGGCAGTAAGAAAAGATTGTGAGCCAAACCTGCTGAACAAAACCTGGAATCCCCCGTGCTTGTCCTATGATTTCTAACTATAATGGTGCCAGTGTCCTGTAAAAACCCCAGAACTCTTTTCCTGAAGCTCAACTCATACACCTAATATGGAAGTCAAGGAAAGCTGAAGGATGCTGGGAGAAAGCAAAGAAGTTGCAGGCCCAGCTGCTGCCTAAGCCATGAGGTGAGTCAGCAGATCAGCATTAGCAGTGAGTGCGCAGAAAGCCTACAACCTTCCTCCCTTCCTCAAGAGAGCAGTTCCTCCCAACTCACCCACACTAGAAACACAAGCAAAGGGAATTCTAGGAACTGTAGCTCAGTCTAGACCAGGGGACACAGTGTCAAACCATCCTGATCTCCCCTCCACCATCTGACTAAAGATATACCAGTTTACCAGTGCTGAAGAGACAGCTCAGTTGGTAAAGTGCTTGCTGAGGGACCAAGCATGTGTACTTGAATTCCATCCCCAGTGCCCACTTAAAAAGCCAGGCGCCCCTGCAATCCCAGTACTAGGCAGACTGGGTCAGGCAGATCCCTGGGGCTTGTTGGCCAGTAGCCTAGCCTAACTGGCAAGCCCCACGTCTTGTCTCAAAAAGCAAGGTGAACAGTTCCTGAGGAATGACACTTGAGGTTGACCTCTGACCACACACACACACACACGCACACGCACACACACACACACACACACACACACACACACACACTGGAATGCACACATACCTGGTCTCTACATGCATCTCTATGCACATAGGTGAGCATACACATACACATGGTACATCTGTTTCCCTTTGAACAGAACCCTTCATGTCCTGGTGTGAAGCATCTGCAGTGAACTACATACCACTTTGGGACCTCCCTGAAATAAGGTATATTTGGGGTTATTTTTTAAGGTTTATTTTTACCTATTTGTATGTGTATGTATTTGAATGACTATGCTCAATATGTCTGAGTGCCCACAGAGTCCAGAACAGGGTGTCAGTTCCCCTGAAGCAGGAGTTCTGCCCTGTGTGGTACTGGAAAGTGAACTCAGGTCCTCTGGAAGAGCAGCAAGTGCTTTTAACTGCTGAGCCATCTCTCCAGCCCCAGATATTTTTTTATACTTGGTGTTTTGAGTTATTATAATAAGAAGAAATGTCAAGTGCTATTCCATAAATTAAAGTTGTGACCTTTACCTTATTATCTGCTCATTTTTACTTTTTATTTCATTTTTAAAACTTTTTATTGAGATTTTGTACATTTCATATAACATTTCTAGATCCAGGTACTTTTAAAAAATCCGAATAGTGAAAAGAAATTGCTGAAATGTTACCACCAGGAACAAACCAAGGACCCACCCTAGCCACAAATTCTTTCTATTTTAAAAAAATGCATAAATTTCTTGTAATACCCCAAATGACTGTTGTTTTGTTTTTATTTTTCAATATCACCAGACTCCACTGAAAAACTCATCCCACTAGTGAATATTTAACCTGGGCTGTTAAAGTAAATAAAAGCATCACACACACCAGAGCTCCCAGCAAGAGTCAACACCTTGACCTCACCTCACCGAATTCCCTATAAAGGGCTGTGACTCAGCATGGCCCGTTAAACTCCTCTTGCAAAGTTGTTTTTACTTTTCATTTAAAATGAGAAACTAGATTCCAGGGACAGAATGAGTCCAAGCTGAGTTAACAAAGGAGCAAGGGCAAAGTTAAATAAAACTGCTGACTGGCTCGGCCCCTGTGGAGAACACTGCACTGGAGGCAAAGTTAGGACAAGAACTTTGCCAAACTCTTCTCCAAAGGTGCCTTGGACAGCAATCAGAGGCACTGTGGTCTCAGAACATCTCAGAAGACCTGGGGGACAGGAACTCCACCTCAGCTGTCAGAAGTTACAAAGCGTTGCTGACGTGGCCTTGTGGCCGTGCCTCCATGGGACTGCAGGGCGCGGCTGGGAAACCCTCGAGCCTGTGTGCAGGACAGGCAGAGCAGGCTCAGAGAAAGCAGCTGCTAGCTTCTAGAAGGCTCTTGAGTCAGTGGGCCATCTTGTACTCCTAAACAGAAAGCCTAAACTCACCTTTTCCTTTTACTACCTAAGAGATATGTAGAATATATGGAAAATTAAATAGAGTGTTACAGGAAAAAGTCCCTGGAGAAGGCTGGGCAGGAAAAGAAAATCTCTGGACTGGATAAAGGCCCAGCTTTCCAGTTTCTCTGGAAATCACCTGGTCATAGGATCATCTAGGAAGGCAGATTCATCTTAAGTTATGCTAAAAGATGGGCAGACTACATAGTGCATTAATGAGATGGTGAATCCCCACCTCTTAGTGCAGTTCTTGTGGCTCAAGCTGCAGGCAGACATTTTGTGTCCTGTCAGTTTTTGCCTGATTTTCTGAATTCTTCAGAAAAACTCAACCCCTCCTTTTCTTCTTCGTATCCCTTTCCAACCGCGCTTTCCCTGACGCTTCCGGCTGCCCCAACCTCCTGAGCTACTTTACTTTTTC